CACTTCATCTGTGTTTGAAATTGCTCAGGGACCTTTAGGTGAAAGGTGGTGTGTAAACCTAAATAAATATTCTTGTTATTTCATTATTGTTGTGATAAGTTATGTTGTCAGGATCACGGGCTGCTGGAACTAGACTGGGAGCACAAAGGGAAATGCATAGTCACCTAAAGATTGTATTTCACAGCTGTAAGCACCCAAAAGAACTTCTGGCAGAGATTTGTCAGCAATAAATTTACAACCTGCATAGGCATCCAAGCTTTGCTGGAGAAAAAAAATCTTGAAAATATATTATTTTAAATGTTTGGTTTCTAAGAGAAACTTGTGTATTTTTAGGAAGCATGGGGGTAGGAAAGTGGTGGAAAAGGGAGGAGGAGATATCAAATGCACTTTGAAGACCTGTGGATTTTTCTTTGTTTTGTTTTATTTCTCCTAACATGACCATTTTCAGCTTTTTAATAAAACCAGCCATATGAGTTGAAATGGCTGTTGAGGTCATATTTATTGAATGCTAGTGTATACTTGGGCTAGGGCTGGTGCTTTGGGGATGATAGATGTTTAAAGCTTAGTCTTTGTCAGTTTGGAATGTCTAGGCAAGAGAAAAAGATCAATCTGAAAAACAATATCTTTATCTTCCTAAGAAGAGGATTTTTAATTAAGGTTGGAACCTGTTGTTTGAAACTTGTAGGCTGGAGAGGGAGGGCAGGTACACCAGGGGCTCCAAGGGGCTCCTTGCTATCTTAGAAATAATCCCTAAGGGGAAACTTCCTTTGTCCTTCGTAACAACATAACCACCAGAGGAAAGAAGAGGCAATGGGATGGATCCTCCTTGGTTTGACGGCTCAATCAGATGGAGAAAAGCAGACACTAAAGCTGAGAACTAATTTCACCAGGTCCTTGGTTCTTTTCTAAGGTGTGAAGCTCAGGCCATGCTCCTGGAGCTGGTAGCTGTAGCCTTGTCCTCCGCTCACAGGCCCCTTCTCAAACCTGGTGGCACTGTTTGAGGCTGCAGTGCTGGTGTGATACCTGAGAGTTTCAGGGGGCAGTCTGGGCAGTTGCTTAGCATTCTGTTCTGACTGATCTGGGAAGACTGCCCCATCGTAAGAACGTTTCAGGCTGTTCAGGTGAGGCTCTGCTGGAGCCAGGTCCCTGAGCCAGCACATAGAATACCACTCAGGAAGGTCTGCTTCTTCAGATCCCCATCCCTGAGGCGAATGGGGCCCCCAAAAATAGGAAGATCCTAAATTTGCCTGGCTAACCCTGTCTCCTCACATAGGCTATTAGGTGGCTGCAAAATGCTCCATGGGGATTTGAAAGTGTGCAAGAAATGCTTGACATGTGTCAATGAGCAAATGCAGTCAGTGATCATTCAGCTCATCAGTTACAGACTTTTGTTGTGCTCTAAGCAGGATTTGAAAGTGTGTCTACCTGTCCTTCAGTCCTCCTTGGGATACTCCTTAGTGTGCTGGAGCTCCTAAGGTGCCCAGCTGGGAAAGGATCTGTGCCCAAGGGAAACTTGTTCCCACTCTGGGCACAATCTGTTGGAGAGATTCCAAGGCAGGGCTGATTTTGGGATGAGTGCCCCTCTGCAGTTATTAGTAAATTAGGTTTCGTGGTTTTTGCTGGAATCTCTCCTTATGTAGCCCTCAACCAGTGTCCAGTGGGGAGTTTGGGGTGAGAACAGTTCTAAGGGAGAGCTTGTGTGCTACACATGTGCATGTGGTCTGTCACACAGGTGTTTCTCATCCTTGGAAGACTAGGTCTCTGTTGTTGGGTCAGGTTGAATGCATCATGCTCCCTCTTGGTTGGAATGCCTCACCCTGGAGCTCCTCAGCTCTTCATATGCCTCAGTCACTAGACAGTGCTACTAAGAAGGATGAACCTGGAAATTCAAGGTTTTTTTCCAGAAAGAGAACCAGAAATATGTTTATTTTTAAAAATTATTTTAAAATTAGTGTTTCAATTAACAATATATGCATTAAGGCTTAAAATGAAAAACTACCTTCACCTGCCCAATTTAACTTAACTGTAAATTCTAATCCTAAAGGCAACCACTGTTGAATCTAGCTATTTCTGGAATTTTATAGTCATATTCCTAAGTAATATGGTTACACCACACAGTTCTGATTTGTTGGTTTGGGCATTGTCTCTTAGTTTCTTGTCATAGTAAATGAAGACTTACTCTTGCATAAACATCCTCACTTCATAGTCCCTTGGCCTCCCAAATAGTAATATCACAAATTTTGCTAAAATCAGTCATTGATACGTAGAGTATTATATGACTGAGGAAATATTGTTCGCTGTGCAATAATATGCTACATCCTGTCTCTTAGCTTGTACAACCCTTTTAGAGTTAATACTTGTTTCTTGTTTTTGTTTTATTTCTGTGCACTGTTGTCATTTTTCTACAAATGCTTCAATGTGTCTCTCAAACAGATTCATCAATATTTTCCATATCCTCAAACAAATCAGTCTCATGTTTTCTTTTTAAAAATGGTCTTCCTGGAGTTCTTTGTCTTTCTACTTTAATCTGTATGTGTTGCTCTAATTTGACCTCCTCTTATAACTCTTTTGGGATAGATTTTTCTGCCTCCCACCCTCATTGCTAATGTTTGTTTCTTTCAATGTGTTTCTTTCTTGGTTTGCTATAATGAGCCTTCTAGCAACCTCCTAATATGCGGTATGAAGACGGTATAATTTCTGAGATCTGGATGTCTGAAAATGTCTATTTTATACTCAAACTTCACTGATAGTTTGTACATATAATAGAGTTGGATTTTGACAGTGTTTTCCTGCAGAATTATGAATTCATTGCTACATTTTCTACTTTAAATACCTGCTATTGAGAAGTCTGGTGCCATTCTGATTCAAAATTTCTGTAAATGACCTGTTTTCCTCTCTGGAAGCTTAAAAAATTTTCCCTTTGTTTCTGATGTTTTCAAATTTCACAAAAATGTGCTACAGGCCTGAGTGTATGTGACACCTTTTCTCATCTATTATAGGAATTGAGGTCACTATACTTATAATAAAAGGCAGGTTAAAAAGAGAACAGTGAATTTATTTAATCACATTTCACGTGACATTGAAATCTTCAGAAATGAAGACCCTAAGACCCAGGGAAATATGCTTTTATGCTTAACTTTGATGAAGAATGGACAACTGTGTAGAAATGTGACTGGGCAAAAGAGTGTGACCTAATGGTAATAGACTGAGGAAGAAACCCAAGACCTGTCTGTTCAGCTGCTTCTTGATTTCTCAATGCATGCATTCCTTCTCCCTGGGATAGGGCAGGATCCCTTTGGAATGAAAGGAGAGTGAACTTTCCAGGTTTTTTGTCTTACTTTAGGATGGAAGTTCTAGGTTCTATACCTGCCTTGGGGAAGAGGAATTCTGGTTTCTCTGACTCACTCTGTAGAAAGTAGAGGGATAGGAGACCAAGGGCAGGAGATCAGAGAGACTTTGCCTCTCACCTTTCCAGTGCCCTTTAGTTCTAAGGACTGAGTGTATCAGGGTGGCACACTTGGGGGAGCATGTTCTGAGCCCTAACAGTGCCTTAGTATTGGTCTTTTATTCATTTATTACTATTGACCATTTAAATCTAGAGACTCAGGCCAGGGATTTAGCTCAGTGGTTCTGCCACCTGCTTTGCAAGCGCAAGGACCTGAATTTGATCCCCAGTACAAAAGAAAAAAAAAAATCTAGAGACTCATGTTCTTTAGTTCTGGAGAATTTTGTTATGAGAAAATTATATCTTTCATAGTATCCTCCCCTCTTGTCTGCTCTCTTTCTAGAACTCCTGTTAGACACATGGTCCTGGAATTATCTTCCAATTTTCTTACACTTGCTTTCTATTTTTCCAACCCTTCATCAGTTTGTCTCCATTCTCCACTGCTTCACTTTATTTCCCAATGCTTTCATTCTTACTGTTATGTTTTTAATTTCTAAGAACTCTTTATATTGTTCTAATTCCCCAGCCCCCTCATTCCAACACACAGTTTAATTTTTGCAGCAGCAAAATCTTGAAGAACTTTGGTTATCTTTCCAAGGATATTATTCATTGTTCTGTGTGTATTGTCATGGTTTCCTGTATTCTCTTTGCCTCTTTACCATATTGGAGTACTCCTTCAAACGTCAGGTCAGACTAGATTGTGTATTCAGATTTAGAGCCAGACACACAAAAGGGTATTGAAAGCTCTGTGTGTGGTGGGGTGTGCATGTGGTAGAGAAGAGTTTGTATGTTTGTGAGTTTTCCTATGCAGCACAGCCAGAAGGACAAACAACATCTTCCTCTTCACCAATATCTGAGGATTTATTTTTTATTTTATTTACTTTCATTGATGATGTTTTTTGGTTGTTTTTAGCTATTGAGTTTCTCTACAGAAGGATCCTTGCATTTCCTGCCCTGGAATTAAAGCTTGGCTGTTTTCTGAAGCTAGATAGATTGACTCACAGATTATCACTTAATCTGATTTTTACTTCTTGCCTATCTTTCTCCCCCAACACACAATGTGGTGGCCACTGAGACTTGGGATCAACTTTTCTGTGTGGAGAAAATTTTCTATGTGGTGTAAGGAAAGGTGTAGTTGACTGGCTGCAAAGATGGGGGAGTGATGTGGGATTCTAATCAGACTGTATATGGATTTGGTACCATGCCTTCTAGTCTGTCCTGAGATGCCCTATTGCCTCCTTTGAGAACTTGCATCTCCATATCATGGATTTATTGTGGCTCTGTGTATCAAGTGACACCATTTCTTTTCAGTATTCCCCCCCTTTTAGCAGCATAGCTGTACCTTCTTCCTCCCTGCTGAATCACAACCATACTTCCGTCTTTATCATTTTAAAAATATTTGACAAAATCTCTGCTCCACTCATATCTCAGCTGGTCATTGTTCTTGTGGGTTGAAATCTTTTCAATCTCTTTTCTATCGTTTGGTGGAGTTTGGGACATAATTGTATGTACCAGTCTGTCATGTTTAGCTTGCTCTTCTTCATTTTGAAGGTCTCATCTGACTAACATTCTGTTGAAGAGTCCAAGTTCCTGCTTACTTCCAAACTAGCTGTGTGACCTTGACTAAGTTATCAAACTCTCCGGCTTCAGTTTCTCACTTGCAAAAACAGCAATAAAAGATTTGTAACCAGCAAAGCAAGTACCTGTCTTGCTTGTCTCACCTTATTGTGTGACTGAAAGGAGACCAGGTATGGAGAATGCTGTGGAAAAAAAAGGAGGGGGGGATGGAAGTCATTGAGAGTAAGACTACGAAATGTAAAGAACCTCATTTGACAGATGCAAAAAAGTCTCCCCCACCCATGCCCTAGCTTCCCTATGTTTAAGTGTACAGAATGGGGCCAAGTGAGTTTAGTAACCATCTTTTATTTGTTTTGATCTAAATTTCTTTTTTCTCACTTCAGTACAACTCATGTTGGTGGGACTTTTGGTGTCATCCCTGCCACCACCCTTGGTTACCCCCAGGTAAGGGTCAGCGGTCTCTAGTGTTCTTTGGTCTCAGTATAAGACTGTCCTTACAATTTTTCTATTTAATTGCCAATTTATGTACTAATACCATAAGCCACGTCCTCCTAAATTGTCTGTTGGGCTATATTACTTGTATAAATCTAGGACAACAGTAGAGAGAAATAAAAATAAAGTGCTAAGCACAATCATCATTTTGTAATATAAATTGCAACTTGCTGGAATCCATGGCATTATAAGGCTATACCCTCGCAATAGGTTATTGTGACAAGGATGCAGTGGATAGGGTAAGGAAATGTTTTGTAAACCATATAGGTCTTTAACAAATGTAAAGAACCGCTATCATCCTCAGTCTCTTCAGGCCTCCATTTGTTCATGTGTGAAATGAGCTGTTGAGAGCTTCAATTCTGTGGTAGTGGCATAAACTCACTAGAGCACATCCCTACCATGATGGCAACTAAAATTTCAGGATAAAATTTAAGAACCAAACCAAACCAACCAAACAACAATAGCAAAAACCAAACAGCTACCTGAGAACTCTGAAAAGCCTTATGTCTTGTTGAACTAGGTGATTGAGAACATGGTGTGTTTGAGGAGGGACACAAATGCTCACAGCCCTACTGCCCCGATTTACCTGTTTTCTGTCCAGTGCATAAAAACCTGACTTGGAAGTTAACTTTTGGTGACAGTGTTACGTATAAGGCAACAAAATGCAAATAATCCCTGGCATGTAAATACCCGTGAGATCTCTATTAATATTTTATTATAGATGAGTTCAGCAGAGAGGGCTTGAATCCTGTGAAAAAGCCCAAATATAGGCTCTACTTACCTGTCTTGTGGCATAAACAACAAATATGATCCCATTTATGCTTCCAGCTGAGAAACGCAATAAGACTTAAATATTTTAGAAGTAACAACCTTCAATTACAATTTGGTAATGTAGCTCCATGAAAGAGGGCCATTTCCTGGTGAAAATTAAAAAAAAGTTTTCTGTGATTTTTCATATTAAAAATACTATTATATACTCTTGATATTCTAGCATAGAAAGTTAGATATTTTTTTCCCATGAAAAGAGAGAATTTAAAGATTCCTGGAGCTTCTGTCCTTTAGGTAAGAATTAAATTAATATATTGTTTATAATAAAATTTAGCAATATTTTTTCATGTTGTAAATCCAAATAGTTTTATGCCCTCTCCACATTAAAACCACAATATTAACAAATGTTTCCAATCTTGTCTTTTATATCAGAAAATGTTGAGGTGGCTTTTAATACTTATTGTACTTTTTGAATAGAACTATTTCCCTATTTGTGTTTTAAAGTGTAAATGAAAGCTAGTCAAAAATTCAAAAGTATAAGTAATCCATTACATAAAGAAGAAAAATATGGTATCAACTCTTACAGAATCCACCACCCACTCACAATAAAACAAAACAAAGCAACCTGGCAAATTAGGAACAGGAAGCTATTTCTTCACCTTGATAAAGAATATCTACTATAAGAAACCTACAGCCTGAGATAGTGTGGCTGGGTGGGCAGTGCTGTGCCACCTGGGAAACTGCATGCTGAGATTGTGATGGTGGAGACAGGATGAAAAACCCTGAATATTGTTTGAGAGAAGACACTGAAAACAGAAAGCAGAGCACTGAGATTGTGATTTTGAGTGGTTAAAAAAAATCACACAGATTCACAATTTTGCCTGGAGCTGCCTGGAGATAGCATGGTTGTGGTTTTAGAGTTGACTTCTTGTCTCCAGACATGGCTGTGGCCACACATAAAAATTATGTCCCTAAGCCCATGACATGTAAGGACCAGATCTCCTAGTTCTATCCAAACTGGCTTTTCAGGATTGATGTGACCTAAAATCTCTGCCTGTGTTTCAGTTTTTATAAGTGCTAATGTAAAGATCATGCAGATTACATACTCAGTGTGTGATACTGAGGTCAGCGGAAACTGGCCTAATAGTGTTCACTTATGAAACATCTGGTACAGTTAAGACTTACCCCTTTTATGGTTTTATTACAGAAGCTGTTGTATGTTTTCCTTGGATTTTGCTGGATAGCTCCCCTGGTCTACCTTTCCACAGTATGAACCTCTCTGGATCAGAGAGGTTTGCAACTCAGAAGCTGTATTTACTCAGAACCACATCTTACATGAGAATAAAACTTCAAACCTTGTTTCCCTTCTTTTGTGTGGCTCATATATTGGCTTCAAAATACAGCTTTGTAATGACTTATACTAAAGGAGGCTTTAAATTAGTTATTTGATTTACAGAAGGGTAATCTCCTTTAACGTATCCTGTTTATAGTGTCTCTTCAAGGTACAAATGGGGTGTTGACATCACTAGAATTTTAGGATACCTGTCAAAATAGAAGACTTAAAACCATAGTGTGGCATTGTTTCCTGTTTTGGAAATCAATTATGTTGCAAAAGGAATAACAACTGGCTTTTCCCTGCCTCCTTCTAATCCAAGAAAACAGTGTCCTAATTCTACATTGTCCTTGGGAATTCTCAGCATGCCAAATTTCAGAGCTTTGGTTTGCTTTGTGTTCTGTAAGTTACTATCAAGATTTTGTTCATATTCTTAAATGTGGGAATCAGTTGCAATAAGTTGGAGCTGGGTTATCTGGCTACTTATGGTTTCAAAATGGCAAGCGAATTTATCTTCCTTTTGGCTGTTATCTTTACATAAGGCAGCCTTTAAAAATATATATTAGTCTTACTTTAGCTATCAAAAAGGCAGATACATAAACCAGACTGAATTTGCTACCAAATGACTTATTTAACTAGTAGGAAGATAGAAACTATGGATTTAAATATAATACTCTCTCACAAGCACACCAGATGTTTTATATACCAAGTCATCTCTTGGTGCCGAAATCTAGATCTTACTGACATCCAAATATTGCTATTGCAAGTGTTGAAATACTCCCAAGTTTAACACATGTAAGGGAAGCAGATCTTTTCTCCAGATAAAACTATGCAATCACAAAGACTGGATGCAAAGAGCTATGATTTATTTCAGGGATGGCAAATGTGTGCTGAGGCATCAAAAACACCATCTGACATAAGATGTTAGGTTATACCTAACATGTTTGTTTTCAGAAGTTCAAACATCATTATTCACGACAGGTGTGGGTCTATGATTTAAAATAATTACATTTCAAGCTATTCATATCAATGCTTAAGAAATGACTTCATTCTCCCCAGTTAACATATGTCTTAACCATGCAAATGAGAAGGAACAGAACATCTGGTCAACCATTGTTGTCTTGCCTGTCATGCAGGACATGTGGTATTGCATGTGCCTCTCCTCAGGTTCCATCGGGACAGCAGTGGGGCGGAGAGTTTCATATTTTACACAGCTGGTGCTTTTAGGAGATAGTATCAATCTTAGCTGAGTAGCGTCCATACACCTTTGGGTTTTTATTGGGTCTTTGGTGTTGAATTCCATTTTTGGATTATGCAAACATCTCTCCTGGAGCTTCAAGTGAGAGTAGCATATTTGTGTAACAGCATTTCTCTATAATTTGACAGTTTATGATTAGAAATGTGGCCTAGGGAGAGACAGTTCTCTGAAAATCCTGAGTGAAGATTTTTACATCTTAGTGCTAATACTGACTATTTTAGAAGCCTTGGGAAAAATTCACTAAGCTCTCTATATCTTTATTTAATCCTCTGTAAAATGTAAAAACAGCCACCAAATAAGCATCCTGCCATTGGGCTTGTCATTGGATAGAGGCTATAATATCCATCCAAGACATCATTTATAAAGCAAGTCACTGTTTTAAAGCCCTTTATAATTACAATATAATATAAAGGTATAATCTATATGTAAAAGTGCAAATTTCCAATAATGAATGTCATTATATTGTATACCTAAAATGTACCAATGATTAGAATGAATAATTGATAATGCAAAATAGGAAGAAAATGTGCAAAGGGGTAGGGGTAGTGGGAGGGGCAGGGGAAAGGAAACAAGGGAAAGGAAAAATGATGAGAAACAGAAAAAATGGAAATAAAGTCTTTGTAAATAGGGAAGGGTGGAGGGGGTGAAGGGAGGGCTAGGAATGGGGAAAAAATAAGAACCAAGATGCATCATGTAAAGGTACAATTCCCAATGAGAAATGTAATTGTGTTGCATACCTAAAATGTACCAATAAAAGAATTTAAGAAAAAAAATAAAGGTATAAACTATTTTAAAATGTCTGATTTGAGAATTACATAATAAATTTGGTAGCACATTTATTCACTATGATATTTTCATTTGGCAACCATGGTCATATTCATACTTGTCCAGGGTACTGACAGCAAATCTGGCCATCCTGAAAAGGTTATATTGAGGGGGGGCAGTTGGTGATCTCTTCTTTGCTATTGCTAAATCCATCTTTTGAAGGAGTGTTTATTCAGGCGGAAGAGGCTTTAGTCCTAATCTAAGTAAAGCACACAGGCCACCAAGATGCAATAACATGCCTGAACTTACATATTTTTCACTCTTCTGAACTGAAGACAATTTTATCTCTGAGTTTTTCTGTGCCTGTGTGTTTCTTGAAAAATGTGAAAGTCGAATAATTTTTTATAATATGAAGAATAACTAAAGTGGGATTTAGTTTCAGAGGTAGGTGTAGATATAAATGTGGGCCCATATAAATATATATAAACTAAATATTAAAAGCAAGTAACAATCCAGATCTTCAGAACACATTTAAATAAATGCTAATATAAATACAGATGCATTTTTTGGTTATCTTTTCCCCACTAGTATTTATATAATGGGACAAAAGGAGGAATTTCTTTTCTTTCAGCCCTGTATAAATTCTTTAAGAAGCTGTGAGAGTGGATTGTATTTTCTTTAGCCTCTGAATGCCAGCCAACACACTAGGGGCAGTTAAATAATAAATAATAACAAATACTGAGTTTATTGACTCTTGAACCCTTGAATCAATCAATTAATCATGATATTATGGCAAGATCAAAGGGATAAAATTCTAAAACTCACTGCAAGATGCAAATAGATAAATCTCCCAGCAGGAATAATTGCAAACCATTTTGATGAAATAAAAAATGATGATCACTTATGCTCTTTAGAGCTCAATAACTAAGGTTTATTTAAATGCTGTAAAGTACATTCCTCTAGGATCTAATGATGTCCTAAACAGCTAGTGTTAGGAAAAGGCATTGTAGTCCAATTATTCTAAAGACTGATGCCATAGATTCTGAATGATGAGTATCATCTGAGCTTTAAATGTTAATTTCCCCCTGAACTGTCCCTTTACAACATACTATGTGGATATTTCTTACAACCAGTCCAGTTTCTCCTGCATTAAAATTGACTTTTCTCTTCCCAGACTCTGTTTTGCCTAGTACTAAAGTAAGAGGTTTCTGATGATCATTTTAGTCAATTTACAAGAAACAATGTAGTTGGTACTAGAAGAAACGATGAGTCACCAGATGGAGAAAGAAGCCCCAGGTCAGAGCTTGCAATATACAGTAATAACACTCAGCCATAATAACGAGCACAAAAGTCTCCTACATGGCCACAGGACTCCAGAATAATCCCTGCTGAAGCTTTATGTTGCCTGTTATGGATTTGGTTTCTGGGTTCACTTGTTCATCCCTTGAGGAGTGTGGCAGATGTGGTCAGTACCTGGAGACTTCCCCAGGTCCTGTGGTGGTGATGTCCAGAAAACTCTCAGGAGTTTTGCCGCATGATGTGGTCTTTCCAATAGGCTGCACAGAACACAAGCAGCAATCACATAAAGAGAGTTTCTTTTTCAATAACTGATATGCTGACTTCATGAAGTCAAGGGGGTGGTCAAGTTGTAAATAAGGACATATAGAAATCTTATTTAGAAGTTCTCAAGAAGTTTGTATTTATGGTTGAGGTCCGGGCATTGTATTCTGAATACAATCATGGGCCAGAGTGAATTCATTTGTTCTTTCATTTATTCATTAATTCACTCACTCAACAAATATTTACTGAATATCTATTATGTGCTAAATATTTTAGATTAATAAAACATTATTTGATCATTGTATTTACAAATTTGTAGGGCCATCTCTTAGAGTTGAGTCATACTTTCCACTTCAACTATCTCCTTTAATCAATTGTGTTACCCTGCAAAATATATACTATATTTTAGATAAGAATAGTGCAGTTCAGAGATGAATGGGATTGCCTAAAACCTTTTAGTTAGTGTCAGAATATGAATTTAAAATAGTTCTCCTGCCCCTTTTTTGGGGTGTCCTTTCTTCTAAATCATAGTGTACATCCCCCTCCCATACTGACATCCTCTTTTATAGTTCAGGTGGAGAGATTTTGTCAGATCTCCCTCTCCCTCTCCCTCTCTCTCTCCCTCTCTCTCTCCCTCCCATGTCCATGTTTTATGTATAACTAGAATTTGGATGTAAAGAATTTGTCTGGAGTTGAATTTCAGTAATTCATCAACCCCACTCAAACACCTTGGGACTTTGGTAAACTGGTTGGCACAAAGCCATCCCCTGAGGCCCCTCAATTCCATTGACAATTTTATTCCTGAGATTTCTTGGTGTTAGTCTTTGACTATGCTATTAAGAAGTGGGTCTGGTTTTATAGACTGTTTGTCTCCTCTGTTTAGTTTGTTCCTTCCAGCATGCTTTCCAAAAGCACTTGCCCAAGTTCATAGTAACTGCATGGTGAGTGGGTAGTTTCTGTTAGGGATCTCCTAGCCCAGTGATGGCAAACGTTTTTGATCTTTCAATGATATAAACAGCCTGCTGCAGCAGGCATTAGGTTTGCTACCACTATTCTAACCCTTTTCTTACTGAGCTGTCTTTCTGGTGAATCTATCACAAATAATCCCAAGGTGCTTTGGAGTGGGTGCCATCTAGCCCTTTGCTATGGGTTCTCTGTGTCATCTCAAAACTTTGTATGTTGAAGTCCTAACCTTCAATATCTCAGAATCTGACCTTATTTGGAAATAAAGTTGTTAAAACTTTAATTGACTAAGTTAGGATAAGGTCATTCTGGAATAGGGGTGAGCTTTTAATCCAATATGACTAGAGTCCTTATGAAAAGGAGAAGTTTGAACATACATACTCAGGAAGAAAGCCTGCAAAGATGTAGGCAAAGATCAGGACAAGGGAGCAGAAAGCAATGAGGGCCAAAGATTGCCAGCAAA